GAATTCATTTACTTTGCATTGATACGCAGCGCCAACTGCAGATTAGCGTAATTACAGAGCACCTTCGCGAAGCGTACTCGAGAGAAAGTATTTCTCGAATTTTTGCAAGCGTAAAAAATCGCTTAAAATGCCGAAAAAACTGAAAAATGCAGACACACACGGGCGTAGTATTTACGCGAGATGCGTTTATTGATGCGCGAGCCACATAATGGATCACTTGAATTTTGCCCTGCCCGGCGCATGTCAAAAGGATTGGGCTTGTGCTGTGGAACATTTATCGTATTGCCTGGCATCGTTAACATAGAATCCGGCGTATGTTTCTAGCAGGAGATATTTAGAAACCGAGCAACGTGCTTCTATCACGCATGCTGCGTACATCCACGTAATCTATCTCATCGAAATTTAGCTTAAACCGTAATTACACGCGCGATGCAGCGTTCTATCCGTACGATAATTAACGCTAATATTGTTACTCGTTGTCAGTTCGGTATGAAGTAGAAATGATGCAAGTTAATTTGGTATATTAGTGTGTATTAATGTTTATAGTTTATGTTGTGTAATATAATTTCTCTCTACTCTTGCTATTTAATATATTTTAAAGGTTCTAAATAATTTAAATCTTCAGTTAGACTTTTGTTACACGCGCATGACTTACGGCGGAAAAATGTAATTGATTTCGCCGATGTACGTATATGTCGTGTACACAGTATAGCCGCAACGGCGAAATAAATTTGCCGAATGTAATTGGAAATATTTTTTGCGCATGTAAGGCTCGGCATTGTGTGCGAGGTATTGATGAAATTTTTTAGAAACCCTTATGAATAGTATTTTCTGAAGCAACTTTGTTATAACAATGGTTTTATACAGTGATTACTGTTCGCTTATAGTTTTGGCAGAAGCATATATATTTTTCTAGAAAACGCCGATACGCAAGGAAAATTAGTTTCCATGAATAATTTAGTACGTTATTTACGCTATCGAGTTTATTTAGTTAAAATCAATTTTCTACGCCTGCCTCATATATTTGTCGCCGGCATAATTATTGTGAAATAAATTAACGTCAATTCCGCCGAAACTAAATTCTTCCGCAAGAAAAATTACGAAATTAGCATCAGTCTTGTTAACAAATTACGCGCGATGACTCTGTTCCGTGCTACGTCCGCGTTTACTGAAATATTAATTCACTCCGGTAGCGAGACGTCGATTGATGCTGCCGTATCCAGGCTCGGCGCACGGATCGCGCTTGTGCGCTTGCAGACACTGCGAAGAAATACACGCCAAATAAGTCTGCGATGAATTATCAGTTGATGATATCGTCGCGCATAATTATTGCTTCATCACCGACGGACGCCGCGTACTACCAGTTGCAACCGGTAGAAATTTATTTACTGTAGAAGATGGAGAACGCTGCCTGTCAGTAATAGACGGTTGTTGTCTGCATTTTCCCGTGGCAATAATTGAAAATCGTCCCGCGTGCCGCAGCTTGCGCGCCGGCATTGAAAAGGGCGCTCGTAATCGCGCGCCGATCACGATTCCGACTCAGAATCGCTATCAACCGCCGCGATCTTTTCTTTCCCCATTAGTCCTTGCCATAACCAACGATTATGCGCCGCCTGAGACGCGGCGCAATCGGACATTGCCGGGCGATGGCGATACTCTCGATCTTTTGCAATGATATGATCGATCGATTTACCGATCGCCGACGAAGGTCAGTGCGGTGCGTCTTGCTACGTCCGAGGATCGTGACGTATCGATGCTTTACTCGCTCGGATCATTGGTGGAATGCAAATTTTTTTATTTTATACATGCCGATGCGTAAAAAGTAACGCTCCTTCTCGATGATCTTTTTATCGATAATTAAAACATTAACTCTATATTGAGAAATAGCCTCGTAATTTGTTTTTTACAATAATTTAATGTTATACGTACTTTTTTTCGAACGAAACCGGTACATACGCTTTTTACTCTCATTGAGAATTCGTAATAATAGGATCGGTTGACCACATGATGGGGAAGGTCAGTTTGACGCTTGAAGGTGAATTCCTCTCTTTTTTTTAATATTCGAATATAATGAAAGGATTTTTAACCATCGCTTGACATATTCCCGGCGACAACCAGAGAAATTTTTTTGTACAGAACAGACGTGAAATGTCAGTCTCATTTCAATGATAATTGCGATCATCTATTTTTGTAGAAGATAATTAGCTAAACCAGTTTCTTTTCTAAGTCGTACCCACGGTTTTATATGTATATTCTCGGCAAAATATTTATGCATATTTATGCATTCCATGAAAATTATTATTATACTTTTAATTTTCCGTAGAATTGCAGTCGCACACGACCTTAACAATCACTCGATATATCTGCGATCGATCTACCTTTCTCGTAAGAGAAAATTAAAAAAGCGGACGTCCTTAAGATTCATTTAGAGAGTGCCTTTATCCTTTCTCCGCGAAACGTTACGTTGAAAAATTAATAGCTATGCATACCGCCTCATTCGATGATGGCGTGTTTAATTTTATTAGGAACGTGTAATGACGGAATAATACGATGCATTATACGAATGACAATTGCATTCATCGATGTTTAAGTTGATATGGACATATATTAACCGATGGGCAAACAAGTAAATATTGCTTGACGAGGATTATAACGTAGCGCTCCGTCGGCGATGTAATTCTGCTTTGATTAATAGATTAATCAATTAAGCGATTAATTAAACCACTACACATCTAGTTATATCGCTAATATTATCGAGAGAGCGATTAATGGAGAACGTGATATTATGATATTCGTAGGAACTTGATATTCGCAGTTGAGCTCAATCAACGCTGTTACATAGTTCAAATTTAACCGAAATTATTACTTCAGACACCGGTGAAATATTTGAGTACAAAATTAGAATTTTATACGAAAAAACATGGAAATTAGGTTGATCATCGAAGAAAAGCTGTCTGTTTTAAATATTATTATATTGATCAAATATATTTATAAATATATTTTTGTCAAAATTTTATTAAATTTTAATGTAAATTTTTCAAAGCACTATGTGCTTATTCAAGATATTGTAAACAACATGAAATGGATTGTTAATGCATGAAGTGTCCTTGATTTCCGCGCTGCTGATGCACCTGCAAGAGCTGCATGGCGTGGGGGGGTCGACGCGAGCAGGTGCAAACGACCTTCGCGATCATTTAGCCTCTCCACCGACCCTCCTGTGGAATTTTTAAGTGTTTTGGTCGTGGCACCAATGCAGGTGCAATATCATGCGGAAAGATATCGGGCTAACGGCACCGCACGAACACGCATAACCATATAATCGAGATTTCATGGCTGATTCGTGCTCATTAGTGGAGTTACCAATGCTGATTAAACAGCAATTGCGAGCGGCCGATTGAAAATAGTTGCAAAATTTATTGGCAAACATACATATAGCTTTAATACTTAAACAATAACGAATTTTTTATATTGTTAAATAAATCGTGTCATTATAATACTTATAATTAAGTTTTGTGATATCAAATAACTTTGATAAATATTTTCTATTGCCTTTGTCTATTTCATTGTTTTTCAAAAATAGAGATTTTAGATGAATTATTTTTTAACAATATATTTTTTCGACACATACATCTACAATAATCTAAGATTACTTAAATGGCGCGATTTATTTATTGAGGAAATGGCGATCGCGTTATTTTACGTTATTTATTTTTGTGTATTTTTTCAGCATATTTTTTTTCACGTTTTTAATAACAGCAACAAAAAAATTACCATATTTATGTTCTGAATCAATTGTGCATTCGCATATAGAAAATACCGACACCAAATATATTTGCATATACACAAGCAAAAGACGTGCGATATTAGATATTGGCGCGGAATTATAATAATGGCGATGATTACAATCAATAAATAAAAAGGATGATAAAGAAAGAAAGGAATCTGCGAAAGAAGGCCGCCTTTCACCTGCGTACGTGTGTTCCATCTATTGAGCTTTTTGTTGGAATTCTCTTGTGAGAATGATTAATAATGAATTTTAATGCAATCTTTGCCGGTTGAAAATATCGGTGACTTCTGAACTGACATTTAGACATTGCTAAATGGATGTCTACTACCAGCCGTACGCGGTTCATCATCTCTTGAGGCGACTTTTCAAATAGATAGATAGTCATTTAATTATCCTGCCGCTCAAGCAATTTAAATTTTGTCTGAGATCAAGTTAAATATATCTTCTGAGTGGCACATTACTTGCCTTTTGTCATTATTTACTAACGTCAAATGCGACTTACGTCTTTTCATAAATCGCAATAATTTCTTTACGCCGTGGATTAATTTTGCAAATCAACATTTGCAATCGTATAATTATAAATATCTTACTTATATTTTTTTACTATATAAATATAACCCAACATTTCTTAGCATTTATAAACGTTAATATTTTTATCTTCAATATCAATTGCATAACACTAAAAAATTTTTCGTCAACAGTGTATCGACGCAAAATAATTACATCAACTCCATCGATATTTGTTATAATAAGTCTTTGATAGCGTTTTATTTCTAAGTTATAAAAACAATATATAAGTATTGCTACTATTATGAATTTCTATTATTATAATAATTAATTAATTAATTGCTATAATGATAACGAACAAACTGCTAATCTGCCATCCTTCGAAAACGCACGAAAACTTATCACGATAGCTTGAATATTCTCAATACTGGTTATACAATTCGGTATGCTGACGGCAAGGGTTACTCGTTGAAACAGCCGTCGACATTTTCACGTCTGAGCCGACGCCTCTCTCGTGGCCTTTCTTTGAGACAGCCCTGAGGCAGGTGGATTGCGCGCGCAACCCGGTTTGAAATTCGTGGCGCGCCGCGGAGATCCTTGGGGGCTGCGTTGCTCTCTCGCCTTTCGTTCCACGTCCGTTCGTTCGTTGGGTTCGTTCGCTCTCGCCCGTTCGGCTCCGGTCGTGGAAGTCGATGCTAAGGTCGGAGTGTCGCGCGAGAAGGGAGTGTCGGGCGCCTGTCTCGCCGCCCTCCCGGTCCTCCCAGTGATCCCGAATTTCCTCGCGAGCACACGCGCTTCCCGAGGATGACGCTCCCGAGTCCGGTCTCGCCCGTCTGGTACGCACGGCATTATTCACGAGCGAGCACGCCGGACCCCTGATCGCGTTCACGATCCGGAGAAAAGAAACGAAAAGAAATAAATCGAGGATCGCCTTGGGAAGACGCGTCATTGTCGCGAATGTTCTTGTGTCGCGACGGAATTCGCTCAGCTAACCTAACTCTCTCGGCGGCGACGAGCACACGAAGACTATCGATTGCCAAGTGCATTTAAATGGCTGCGCGTGGAATCGCTAATTAAGCGACTCGCAGAAGCATCCGCCGCTCGATTGTACGGAGCGTACACTTCATCGTACGCGAGAGGAATCTTCCGTCGAATGGCAATCCACCCGCTCGATTGATCGACAACCGATAGACATCGAAGCGTGCGGAGCAGTTCGCATTCTGAAAGATCCTCGATCGCCCGCACGGAGAACGAGAGAGAGAGAGAGAGAGACACACGTATCCTTGATGTTATGGCGAGACGCACAAGGAGCCGGTAGTTCGTGGTTGGCAGGGATGTCCTCGTGACATGTTACCCCGTGACCTTGGCTGGCGCAACTACAACGTCCTCCGTGGAGAGGGTCGTCTTCTGGTGCGCGGATCGAGCGGTAATACGAACGGTCGATCGGTGTTCTTCATTCCACGCGAGATCGAGTACCGCCTGCTACCGCTGGTGCAGGTCAAACCTGATTTCGTGATCCCATATGTGCTCTGCTGGAGGGTGCCGGGCGCGATTCACCGTATCCAGATTAATCCATTGGTTGTCCATCATCATCACCACCATCACCAACAGCAGCAACAGCATCAGCAGCAGCAGCAGCAGCAGCAGCATCATTACCAGCAGCATCGTCAGCGCCGGCGATACTTCGAAGGAGCGCAGCGAGCACGTCCCGCGCCACCGCCTTCGACGGAACATCGTCCTACGTACGGCGCGCAGCGTGACATCCTTGTGGATTCTGGTATGGAAACAAGGTGAGTGATCCTGGGGAGATCCTGCTGTGCGGTAGATTGTGTGAGGTTTTGAGGTTTGCGGTTTTCATAGTTCGGGCGTGTCGCCTGCTGGGCTCTCCTAGTTTCGACATCCCTTTTAAGGCTCATTCTTTTCTTCAGACTTGTCAATGATAATCGTCTGTTTGGACATCTGTGTTACGCAACTGAAGATAAATCGTGTTTTAAAAATACGTTAGGTTTTGTCGAAGAATCATCAAGTCATAGAAATTTGTTTCTAGTGTGCTTGAGAAATGGAGCGGCTGTTTTCGAATTATTTTTGCCACCAACAAATTTTATAAATTTTAATTTTGAAAATAATGACGCTATCACGATAAGTTTATATAATTTCGAAGAATAATAAATTGGCAGTGTGGTCGTTATTATAAACGGCAATCAATTAATCAATATAATGAATAATAACAAATAATAATAGTAGCATTATGATATTTATGTGTGTGTGTTTTGTTTTTATTACTTAAAGATATCAATTACTACAAAATCAAATATTCTATGTATTTTCATAAAATTATTTGCATAATATTTTGCCAACTCTTTTATGATATTCTAATTTAATTAGCAATATGTTATTTACGTACAGTATCGAAATACTGTCACTGTAATGTATAAGTATCATATTATTAATTGAATTAGCAAATAATTCTCGATAATTTATAATTTAACGTTATTAAATAGTAGCTTTTTTAAATAGAAATATATTTATACACATCGTCAGACATATGCAAAATAACAAATAATTAAATTTTTAGCAGTGTGATATTGATCCATTTTAATAATAAAAGTTAAATATTCGCGCCGTTTATGAGGATCGATTTATAAGATTTTTTATTTTTTAAATGAGAATATCACTATTCAAAAATAAATTTTACCGCCGTCATAATACGGTTGCAACCATTTTGGACAGCGACGCGCCAGTTCATTGCCCTTCTCCATACCTTTGTGGCGCTCCCTCGTCGGTGTCCGACAGTGAAATAGAAATATTTCGTCATCACCTTGACGGTGAAAATCTGACACCGCGCCAGGTGTTCTTACAATAGCAAAGTGTAGTCGCCGATTAGCATATCGCGCAGTCAACATTGCCGTCTCGCGGCGCGGTTATCAAATATTCATCGTGTAATTATATCGCGTTCGATGTAAAGCGCGTTCATTAATTGATGATGTTAGAGTCTGTAGGAAACGCTTCTGAATTCGCTACTAATTGCGCGCTGCAGTTAAAGCAATTACCAAAAGAGTTCCCAAGTGATTCCTCCGCATGAAAAGATTCATAGAATATACACAATGTGTCGCGATGTCAACACGGCGGCGTACTACAATGATCTCGTGCCGAGATATTCTTCTCTTTATGCCCGAAAAAGAAAGCAGTAAACACTCATCTACTGTCGCAAGCAGCTTCTCCCGGGTCGGCATCGCGTGACCTCCCGCTGTCACTGACAAGATTTAACCAGCAGGTTTTCCTTGAAAGAAAATCTAAAATTGCACATCGTTGCGCAAACGAGATTTAACTTTACAACCTACACCGTTGCATTGTGAAAACATACAAATAGAGGAATATGGATCATTTATCATAAGTTTAACACGCATCACGTCGGTTAATATTGCAATTCTAATTACCACGTGACACTCTCGTAAGTTTCGTTATTTCAACGTCGCGTGAAAACGAAGAAATCAAATTCCGCGGAAGAAGACGAATCGCGAGACATAATTTTACATTCGATATTAACTTGCATATAAAACTCTGCCGCGGAATATGAATCGAAATGCTCGCAAATATGGAGGGACATTTGTCACCGATGCAAATCTATCTCGTCGGCTGGGGGATGTGTAACGCGAGATTGCGACCCGTCGAATCCCAGAAGCATCGCGCGTATCTTCGGCTCGCCGCGGGGGTTATTTTATAAGTCCGGAATAAAAAAGCCGATGGACGATCGCTCGTAAAAGCGCGCTCGCGCGGGGAAAAAATTGCGAAAAGAGATGGATTTTGTGCTGACCACGTTCGCGGGGCGAGCCATTTCCGGCGACTATGGCGACTTCCCATTGCGTAAATGCTTTGTGAGACTCGAATAATATCGCCGCGATGTTCTTCGAGTTATTGCGCTCACTCCCGCGTATAAAAATAATGTCGATTAATCGCGCCATTTCCGGGCGCGCACTTTCCAGTTAAGTTATGAAAATAAAAAAAAAAATCAGATTGTGATATATAAGCGTTACGCTTTACATCACGAGATCGAAATATTTATGATTCGCAACATTACTGCTTATAGCTCTTCGATCATGTTGTGCTACTATGAAACATGAAACAAAGAAATATTTATTGGCCGTGTATATTTTTCCAGCGTCCGTGTTCATATATACTAGGCCATAGATTCGCTCCCAAGTGACATAAATTGTCCACAGTGACATTGTGAAAAATGCGAAGAGTAAATGTTGTTCTGCAATGGTTGACGAAAGAATCATTATTTATTCATTAAAATTAATGTATTGTCACTGCGCAACAACGGACAAACTATGCATTGTGCGACATCGGTTTTTTTCTCGCTTTATTTAATATCTTACGTGAGAGTGAATGAAAAAAAAATAACAATATAGTTATTCCGTTCCCATATTTTCAAGAATAATTTCTTACGTGCAATTTGAATATTTAAATTAAATATTTAATATAAAATATATTTCCCCTATAATTTATATTTATATAATATTTTCTAAGACGCACAAGAATATATGCATAATTTTTGACGTTTTAACGGAGAAACATTTTTGTTTAAATTTTTAAGGATTTGTTTAGTTTCGCAGTTCAAGTTTTTTCCTTATGTGTAAATCCTTGCTACTTATTATAAAGCCGCAAACTACTTCAGAAATTTATTTACGATCGTGCTGTCAGCACAACTCATAATTAGCCATAACTCTAAGTGTACAAACTGTACAAATTGTAAATACAATATGTAATGAGCGAAGCATTTTTGCTTTGATTGAACAATTTGAGTAAATTTGGGCAGTGAAATAAATATAATCTATTCCGGAGCAAAGACGTGCGAGACCTAGCAAGCACAAGCACTTAAATGTGAAATTAAGAAGAAGACTTTGGTCAGTGTAAATATAATTGAGAACAGTCTCTTAGAATTATGATTAAATGCAATTATAATCAACCTTTATGTCAAGAACGCAAATATCCGCTTTGAAAAGTATATAGCAAATACCAAATATTAATAAGTATTTGCGAATACAATAAATCGAATTCTTTGAAATATGCAAAAGCGACACATTTTACCGCCGCGTTAACCCCTCGTGACATTCAAATTGAATGGTGGAAACTCTAATGTTTTAGAAATGTCTTAATGCGAAAAAAAGTTGGATGCTATCGTCACGATTGAAATTGCGATGTTCACAAAAATAACGATTGCATCGATCCTCGGACTATGTATTACATATGGTGGCTTCCATACATATGTACATATGTAGTCGTTACCGCCCTCTTAAAATGATTCGTTTTATCTAGATAAAGTGGAATAGAAGAAGAAAAGAAAAAGAAATAAAGCCAACGCGGTAAGCTTGAGACATAAAGAGGACAGATTCTATCATTTCGTGTTTTTTTCAAAACGGAACTTGTTTCTCGCCTTTGCCGTTTTGACAAAGAGATGTGTTATCTATAAGGAGAAACGCGTAGAAAATTATGCGCCACTGCTTTTTCTACGGAATAATTAATAGTGGACTTATATCAGATTTTTCGTTCGCAGCATTTGTATCGTTTTCTCCGCGTGATAAAGCACGCCTATCGAATGATATAGTTTAACATGAATTAATTTAGAGCGCACTATTAATTCACAGGTGAAAGGCGTCAGTTGATGAGAGAAAATGTAAAGACAGAAAACTGTCGCGAGGGAAGCGAATTTTTTCAGCCGAGATCGTTGCGTAACAATTAATATTTACTGCTGGAAATTTTCATGGAATTCCACTACGCGTGTAACCTTTCGAGCGAATGGGTCGATTATACATTATTATCTTGCAATTAGAAATTCATTAAAAGCCCCGTAAAATGGAGGTCTTTATGATTCTAGACGGTTTTTAAAAGTCAAGGAGTTTTATTGCAGAACGGCACAACAATTTTCTCTTTTTTTTTTTACACATACGAATATGATACGTGATTTATTAAGCCAATTGAAATTTAACGCGATGTAAGAGTAGATATAAATCTTTTGCGAAACTTCTGTTTATCACATTTGATGCAGCGATTATTGAAAGTATTGCTTACAGCGTGTGTGCGTAATATCAAATATCAAGTTTACACCACGTTGCTCTTACAAATTGATGTAATTAAGATACAATTTTTACACAGTTTCTTCTACTCGATCTTGGAATAATCGATAAACACTTTCACAGCCTTTCTCATTTGCGAAGTGAACATTCATCGAGCAACGAAAGGTGTTTACATCATTACGCTTTATCACCGGCGCGATTTATTCGTAATGTCATGAATTTATTTTCAATTACTTGTCGTTAATCTTCACTCAAGTACGGCTATTTTTTAAAGAAGCTGATTCAACGAACGTACCGATACTCTTACTTTGCTCTGGAATATCTCATTCGAAAAGTTGTACGTACGTTCTTTATGCATATGCCACTTTGACTTTCCGTTTATTTCTACTTCGTCGCTCGGCGCGATGGTGGAGCGATCGAAATTCGTTTGAGCTAAAGAAACGATATTTCTGTCGCAAGAATTTTGTGAAACCTCATACAAATTGTCGTGGAAACATTTATTTTCCATCATATTTTCTATTGAAATTTATACGAGAGTGGAATGTTGCGGGAGCTCCGTTAATTCACGTTTCGTCTGCGTCGTGTTCGGTGCAAACGCAATTTATATATGCATTTATATGTGCGCTCCATTAAGGCGCATTATGCAAAATTTCCTTCGGCGGAAATAAGCCGGCATTCGGATTAACGAGATGCTACAAAGTACCGCGCATCCG